AGTTGATGTTATGATGCATCGTTGGGCCGGCGTACGACGGCGCCTGGTGCGATTTATACGTCCGGAAGCCCTNTCAGCCTCCCAGGCATGTCCCAACTGCCTCACAGCCACCGACGCATCTCACGGCGGGGTTCTAATTGCGTGCGCGTATGGATGCTCCTTTTCTTGCCGCTTTCCTAACAACTAGTTAATGCTATGATGCATCGTTGGTCCGGCGTACGACGGCGCCTGGTGCGATTTATGCGTCCGGAAGCCCTTTCAGCCTCCCAGGCATGTCCCCACCTGCCTCACAGCCACCGACGCATCTCACGGCGGGGTTCTAATTGCGTGCGCGTATGGATGCTCCTTTTCTTGCCGCTTTCCTAACAACTAGTTAATGCTATGATGCATCGTTGGTCCGGCGTACGACGGCGCCTGGTGCGATTTATGCGTCCGGAAGCCCTTTCAGCCTCCAGGCATGTCCCCACCTGCCTCACAGCCGCCGACGCATCTCACGGCGGGGTTCTAATTGCGTGCGCGTATGAATGCTCCTATGTCCCGCCACCTTTCTAACAACTAGTTGATGTTGTGATGCATCGTTGGTCCGGCGTACGACGGCGCCTGGTGCGATTTATGCGTCCGGAAGCCCTTTCAGCCTCCAGGCATGTCCCCACCTGCCTCACAGCCGCCGACGCATCTCACGGCGGGGTTCTAATTGCGTGCGCGTATGAATGCTCCTATGTCCCGCCACCTTTCTGGCATCTAGTTGATGGTATGATGCATCGTTGTGCGATGTAGGGCTGCGCCTGGTGCGATTTCGTTTGCGGAAGCCCCCCCTGAGTGCTGCCAAGCATGTTATTCTCTCATGAGACTGCGTGAAGGTTTACGAACTGAGTATGCGACCAACACATAAAACATCGCATGTGAATTGTTATGTCTTGCGATTCATCAAAGGTAAATCGTGTGTGCTTGTTGTGTGTTAGCTTCGGCCGCATTAAGCTTGACGCAACGAGCCTTCATACGCTTGAAACGCAACGTTTGTTTGCATGCGAATTGCGTTGCGATATGTGTGCGTTTGGCGAGTGTTAGGCCGCGTTAAGCTTTACGCAATGAGCCTTTATACGCATGAAACGCAGCATGTATTAGCATGCGAAATGCGTTGCGAAATGTGTGCGTAAGGTGAGTGTTAGGCCGCGTTAAGCTTTACGCAATCAGCCCTCATACTCATGATACGCAACATGCATTCGCATGCAAATAGCCTTGCGGACTGTGTGCGTTTCATGTGCGAGTGGACGCGAATTGCTTTACGCATTGTCTCCCCACACGCACGAATCGCAATATGGAATCGCATGCGTATCGCCTTGCTACACATGCGCGTATGCTTCGCGTTTGAACATACGCACGGATGAATTGTTCAAGTCGACCAAAACGACGCAAGTTTATTTCCAAATAAACCTTTACAATCTGAAAATTATAAATTTTTAAAAAACTTGGCCAGAAGGGCCGATTTCCGCTTTTCCATAGCCGTTGTGCGTTAGCTCTTTGCGTTACAAAAGCATGCTCATTCGCACCTAGGTTAGGCCTAACGCTAAGATTCGCACCGTTACGCGAACTAACGCGAGCTAACGCGGACTTAACGCGATCACCCGTCGTCATAGTGCTCTCGGCACCCACCCACATCATATAACAATAAATCAAGACTTGAAGGTCGTACATATGGCTACGGCTCTCAATCTACCTTTTACGGACGTGGGAGAAACCACAGTCAGGGACTGGGATATGCAACTAGACAAAGTCTGGGCTCGGTTTCGACGCATTTCTGTGTTAAATCTTTCCATTTTTGGGCGTGCACATGCAGCGGCTGCATATGGGCTGCATCGTTTTACGTGGCATATGGAACACGGGGGGTTTCCCCCAGAAGCTAAACTCATGAATATTGAGGCTAAAGCGGCCAAGCTTATTGATAGGAACCTCGGACCGGTCGCACAAGAAAGACGACTCACCGGGGTTCCTAAATATTTGTTATATGGCCATCCAACTTTGGGCGGTTTTGGGGCATTAGCAGTACGACAACATGTGCAAGCGCGATGGGCATGCTGGGCAGTGCGTTTTGTGGGAGCATTACTCCAACCAGTCTTAGTGCGTCCGCCTTGGGTGATGGTCATGCAATCTTTCCTACATAGCCTTTACCCCAAATATAATCCTATGTGTATTTTTACGTCCCAGGTGGGAGTGCCTTGGTTTGGATTAATCGTTTTACCGCCAGATGTTCAGCGCATTGTGACAGCGTTGGCATACCTTCCCCCAGTGGAAGATGTTGATGATCACCCGTTAGTTCCTAATGCGTGGTGTTGGAATTTGCCATTGTGGGGAAACCCTGTTCTTCCAGAAAAAAGGGTGAATGTCCAGTTAGATAACATCCGCCCGGGACTAGAATTTCGACATCAAGCCCTCCTGGGCTGTAAAGCATTGCATACGTT